CTTCAATTTTCTTGAAAATTGGAAGAGCCTGCCCTGGATACAAGCCTGATTCTTGGGGGTCACCGGAGGCAGCACTGCCTCCGATTAAATCATTATTTCCTTCATGTGGTCCTGATCCAATAGTAGCAAATCAGGATTCAATTAATGATTTATTATCCCCAGGTCGCATAAAATTAAAACTATGAATTCCTATTTTTGTTTGTGAAAAAGGTGAAAAAGATAATGCGGATCTTGTATATCATCCTCAAATTAATTGATTTTCTCGCTATTACTTCCCCAAAGCAATGGGAATTTCCCCCAATCTTTGTCTTTTTTTCCTTTTCTGTTATTGGAACTTCATTATTCTGGAACTAGAAGATGCTGGAAAAAAAAATTCAGTCCACTGAAATATTTAATATTCAATATTCCGACCCAGTGATTAAAATCAAGAAACCGCAATCCAACAATTTCCTGACTGAGGGGGAGGAGAAGAAGAAGAGGAGAGAGAAACCATTTTTATTTTTATTTTTGGTTATTTTTAATATTCTAATAATTTATTTGGACTCATTTGTATTTTATAAAAAAGTTAAGGAATAAGATTGCAATTTGTTCTTTATTATTAATTTTTTGTTTTATTTAAATAGAAGGTTATATTGGTCATTTTACGTTAAAATGGTGAAAAATGATGTTTTCCGCAATGAAACGTTGAAATAAGGACGAAAATACAAAAAAATGAAACGTATGGACGTTTTCCACAAGAAGTGTCAAACGTAGGGACGTTTTGTGATATTAAGCCTAAATTTAGAGCGTGTTTGATCCGGATTAAAATCCAATTAAAATTGAAAATATAGCTATTATTGGGTCCCACTCGTCCAATAAAAGTCAACAATAACTGCTAGTTTTTCAATTTTAATCCGATTTTATTCTCTACCGAACATGTCCTTAATGGAGCTCAAACATGAGCTTAAAAAGATCTTTGACAAACAAGCCTTGAGAAGCATCATGATTTAAATTTGTATACAAAACGCAGTAACAATAGCAGATAATACGAAATATGTAATAATAGTGTATTGTACAAAACACATAATAGTGGTTGTTATGTTTTGTGATTCAAATTTCATATAATTTGGAAGTTTAATTCATGGAGGAAGTCTAGATAATATTGGTTTGGAAGTCCGATTTTATAAAAGATCAAATTTTATCATGGATTGAGAGTTTGATTGGGAAAAGGACTTTGAAATAGACAAAAACATGTTTGAAACGTTTTGGGATAGAAGTAGGGCGCCAGATCTTAGGCCTAGACAGAGGGTTTTGTTGTTTGTGAGAGGAAAACGAGTGATCATGGAGGGGCAGAGTCAAAGATAGCAATAGTGGTAAAGTCTGTTTGGATTGCAACAACAAGGGGCACTTGAAGAGAGATTACTATGAGTAGGATACTAATTTGCTACTACAGATAAGAAGAAACAACCAAAAAATTCAGAGAATGTCAATCTTGCAGAAGAAGACATTGATGAAGATCTTTTGCGATTACTAAAGGTGACTCAAAACCTGACGAGAATTTGATTCTTGATTCGGCTTGCACTTTTCATGTGTTCAAATCGAGATTGGTTTTCTTCATATGAAACAGTTACAATGGGTTTCGTGATGATGAGAAATAATGAGCCTGGTAAAATAATTGGGTTGGTAATGCCAAAATTAAAATGTTTGATGGGACGATTAGAACACTTGGCCAAGTTCGACATGTTCCAAGTATAAACATGAATGTAATCTCTTTGAGTACTCTTAATTCAAATGGGTACAAGTATACCGATGGAGATGGAGTTTTAAAAGTTAGCAAGGGTGCTCGGGATGTGTTAAGGGGACGGAAACGTCCTAGTTGTATGTGTTAGAAGGTTTGACTGTCACTGTGGATGCAGCTGAAGCTCATGGTTCAATAAGCAATAATTCGTGTAGAGTTGGCTGTGATCGGGGTGGTTCAAACAATAATACTGGAGAATCACTCAGGTGGAGCTTGTTGTGATCTTGTGTATCATGTTACTCGTGGTGATTTGAGCAGGTTTATTAACTCAGGTGGAGTTGGAATTGCTCGTGGTGATTCGAGCAGGTTTAATGACTCAGCTGGAGTTGTAAGTGAATGAGATGATTCGAGCAAAGATGACGCGCAAAGTAGTTCTGCTGGTAAGCAGGGTTTGGATTTAGTTCACTATTACTGAGCATGCTCTACAGGGGCACGATGAAAGAATTGGAGAATGACTTAAAGATTGAAGACTTAATTTTTTGTTATGGAATTTGTGTCAATGTGGAGTTTGTTATGTTTTGTGACTCAAATTCTATGTGATTTGGAAGTCCGATTTGATAAGAGATAAAATTTCATCATGAATTGAGAGTTTGATTGGAAAATGGACTTTGAAATGGATAAAACATGTTTCAAACATTTTGGGACAGAACCGAGGTGCCGAGGCACAGAAAAAGGCAGCAGAAGAGTCGACGCAGAGCTGCCCCGACACCGCCTATTCGGGGAGAATTTCACTCATGTTTGGTTTATGACGCGATTTTGTGTTCTATTTCATCTATAACTCCAAGATTTGGCTCCTATAAATACTCCACAAAGTGTAGGCTCTTTAGATAGATTCAAGACAACAATTAGATATTTGTTGTACACATTAGAAATTTGAGAAAATTATTTAGATGTAGATTGAGAGAATCAAATTTTGTAAAGACAATTTTAGTTTCTTGATATAATAAATTATCCTCTTCTTTTACAAAAAAATTGGTTGTTGTGTGATCCATTATTTTTTATATTGCTTAGCACCACCTAGAATTGAAACTCGGGCAAATGCCTCGATTAGCCCCTAACCATTTTTTTTTTCAATTCTTAAATAATCGAATTTTTTCATTCATCTCTTTCATCTTCCATAGACGCTCTTTATTAGTTTTTTAATCTTTTTATTCTTTTAGAGTCTTTTATTTGACTTGCCTTATTTATAAAAACATTTCATTTGATTTTAATTTTAAGTCTTTAAAAGATTTTATTTCTACAAAAGTTAAAAATATTTTTTTTTTCTAAAAAGTTAAATAAGATTTAAGCTATTGTGCTATTTACATTATGTAATTATGATCTTGAGACTTATTATTTTGTTGCAAACTCCAAAAGGATGTATGAAGTTCTTATAAATCTATTAAATATGACTTGTCTAGTTAAAAATTGAAACTATGAAAAATATTCTAATTCTTGCATTTCGAAAACTTGAAAAATTGTATAATTGACTAATGGTATGAATTATAAAGTAAATATAATATTTTATAATTTTAGATCTTTAATATGTATTATTTTAATTATTAAATTATTTTTAAAATGATTAAAAATTTAAAATAATATTTAAAAAAAATTACGCCTAAGACTCGCTTAATCTCGTAAAGCTTGGACCTTTCTCTCCACACCTAGTCACGCTTTACACTTTTTAGAATATTGAGAAATGGTAATGCATTCCATGAAATGTGAATATTAATTATGAATATTTGGTTAAAATTAATATTTCACTTTGAATGAATTTATAGAAAAATAATAAATTTGTATCCAGGAGGCTAATAAGAGATATAAAAAGGCGTGATACTAATGGACTGTACAAATGTATGAATAATAGTGGTTGTACATAACGCGTGATAATGCTGGATGAAACAACTAAGAAACTTCGTGATAGTGGAATGTACAAAAAAGTTGCATGTAATGATAGCAATGAAAATACTAAGGAACTTCAAGTCTTGAGAAAGTTATGATCCAATTGCAAAGTCAGTCAACGATCACTGATTTCCTAACCTGTGGTCCAGGGCTGTAATTTCCTGGAAGCTACCAGTGTGGAAATTTCTCAACCCTTCTTTTGTTTTTTCTTTTACTTTTCTTGACAAGGCATATATTTCTTCATGAGCACCTTCCTGGTTTTTTCTTCATATCCGTCTCATAAATCTTAATACCTTTCATTAGTTTGCACCTTCCAGGTTAGTAACTCTCCTCCTAGCTGAGTAAGTTGGTATTCCTCTCTGACATGCAGAAATTCTATTTGTGTGCAATTACGTACAGAAAAAAATTGTCCTTGTTTGATTTTTTAAATCTTATATTGAGTGATTTTTCAAGATTAGCATTAGTTAATGACTTTTCTTTAGATGTACAAAAAATTGGATAGTGATCTCGTTTTGCTTCATTCTAGTAAGAAAAGATTCCAGACCATTTATGTTTTAGTGGCAAAAAACTTGTCTATTGATTATCTTGTCTAATACTCGTTACCAAACGTGCACCAAAGATCCGAAGGAACCATGGCTATGTTTTCGGTTTAAGCAAGAATTATCTTCTTTAATATCATATTTGTTGATACACTTGAATAATTGTAATCTTGAGTTTAGATTTTGGTTAAAAATAGGGAGGAACACTGACTAGAAGATAAAGATGTCCGAAACAAGAGATCATGTTGCTGTTCGAATTGACAATATACTTCTTGACTTGCCTTGTACACCCTCGAAGCCTTCAATCTTTAGAGTCGATGACGATTTACGCAGATTGAATGAGAATCTTTATGATCCAAAAGTACTTGCAATAGGTCCTCTTCACCATGGTAAAGAGCAAGTATGCAAGATGGAGCAGCATAAATTCAGGTATCTAAAGCTTTTGCTTCAACGAAAAAATGAATCCAGTGTTGACAGGTATGTTATGGCAATAAGATCGTTGGAAGAAAATGCGCGCAAGTGTTATGCCGAACATGTCAACTTTGACCAAGATGAGTTTGTGGAGATGCTGATTCTTGATGGATTCTTCATCATTGAGTTACTTCGTAAACATGGAATCGAAGAATTCAGGGACAAAGACGACACTATTTTTCAATACAAACAGATTCTCAGCCGGTTGCGTCATGATTTATTTTTGGTTGAAAATCAAATTCCATTGTTTATTCTTGATCAATTGTTCAGCATGACGAGAACTGGAAATCCAGACGATAATATCAACTATCTAATCCATCTTTTTATTGATGATATTTCCCCATGGACTGAGGTTTCAGAAGTAACCTTAAAATTACCAATCAAGAATGTAGACCACCTTCTTGGCCTAGTATACAAGATTTGGTGTTCATCATTCGCCAAGATGGTGTCATTTAGACCTGTTAAAACTGAAGAAGATAAATTTCGTACTGTAAATTCTACCAATGAGCTGCAAGAGGCTGGAATCAAGTTTGAAAAAGATTCGAAAAGTAATGGTTTAGATATTAAATTCAGCAAAGGGGTTATGAAAATCCCAGGTTTGCATGTTTCGGATGAGTCAGAGACACTCTTCAGAAATTTGATAGCATACGAACACTGCTTTCCTGATGATGATCCAAAATATATCACAGACTACGCATTCTTTATGCATTGTCTCATTAATTCCTCAAAGGATGTGGAAGCATTACGCCGTGTTGGAATCATTACCAATTTTCTAGGTGATGATGGAATGGTTTACCACATGTTCAATCGAATAGGCAGAAATATCCCGATGTCTTCTGATTTTTGCTACAAACAAGTATTTGAAGAAGTGAATAGGCATTGTGGTCATCGCCCGAACAGATGGATGGCGAACTTAAGGCGTAACTACTTCAATACCCCGTGGGCTTTTGTTTCTTTTTTTGCTGCTGTTATGTTGCTCATCTTTACATTTACACAGACTGTATTTTCTGTTCTATCCTATAAAAAGTGAGATTGACAGTTTTTAAAGATTTTTCCACGTAATTGCAACAATATTTTGTTGAAAATTTATACCAACTGTTGAAAATAAATAAATTATTGGTAAATGAGAAATTGTAACATATTTTGGTGTTAATACAAAATTAACTAAGAAAATTGAATCCCCCTTGTTCAAATGCAGCAAAAACATTTATTCATTCATTAATTATTCAATAAATAATTTCAATGATCAAAAGTCACATAAACAACTCTAAACATTGTAACACGACAAAAATGGTTTTATCTCGTTCTCATACCAGTTGCTAGAAAGTAAGTTACAGAAAGAATTAATTACAAAAGTTTTTTTTTTCTTTTATTAAAAACTTGGTTCGGAGATCCCTCTAAAATAATTATATTCACTTGTCAATCAAACTAAACTAATTTAATAAAAGGATAACGGAAATTAGCCTCAACTACAAGCTCCAGAGTCCTTAATTGATCTCCAAGCCTTATTTGGTATTCTTCCAAGTGTTGACTGCAGGGGTGAGTGGGCACAAGAGAAGCCAAATTGAAATCATAGAGTTGGACTTATTTTGGACGATTACACAAGAGGATCTCTCTGTACTAAATTCATCAGGCATGGTGACGCATGAAATGAGGAATTTTAAGAGCGTGTCTTGAACTAGTAGGCTCAACCTCAATGGCGGTATGAATAGAGGTGGCTAGATTGAGCTTTCGAGTAGGTTTACGAAGATTAGACTTAGTTCTCACAATGATGAAATGAGTGTTGCAGAGTGGGAAGAGGTAGAGAATGAATGCCATTAAGTGAAACATCAAACGGATTAGACTTAGTTCTCACAATGATGAAATGAGTGTTAAAAAGTGGGAAGAGCCGAAGAGGTAGAGACTGAATGCCATTAAGTGAAACATCAAGCGGCTGAGAGCTCGCAAGAAGCTGGGAGCCCACGGACTGGTGTGCATTCGAAAATGTGGCAGTAGATAAGTAGCAGCTAGAGTTTATTTCTAGAAGATGGGATAGACCAGTCGATGATGGCATAACACTACTGCTGGAACCAGTACGTTAATTTAAAGGGGCTGTCTGAGATATGCCCCTGACGAGAAGAATGGAAAAGGGTAATATTAGGTGATGCAGTTGGGGAAGAACGAGTGAATTAGATACCATTGGAAATACGAACTCCATGAATTTGACATGCATAGAAACGTAAGTTTTGTTATTCAAAGGATCAAGACAGTGATAAGCACTTTGAGTTAAGTGAGTAGTCAGCGAACACATAGGGATGGTAGCGTGGTTTTTGAGCTTGTGTATGAGATTCTGATCATCCTGAATATCGTCCAATGCTTAGCAAGCTTTGATTCAACTCAGGAACGAAGAAAACATCGCCAATCACCTTTCTTCCTTTCTTTGTGTCAACACCAATAATGCCTTTCCCTTTCACTTCTACCACAGCACCATTGCCCACTCTTACTTTGGAATTAAAAGTGGTATCCATGTATAGAAAAATATGTCTCTGGTGTCATTGTGATTACTACACCCACTACTATCTAGGAACCAAACCTCATTCTTCTTTTCTGAGACATGTTGGCCTGCAAAAAAACAGATTTCCTTCAGCTTTCCCTTCATCTTCTTTGTCCTTGATGAAATTTGATTATTCTTCAATCTATAATCTTTCTGCAGATGACTAAACCTTTTACAATGGTGATATAGAGTCTTCCCTTTGAGCCAACAATCTTTTCAAGATGGCCAATTTTGTTGTAGACATTGCACTTCTTTGAAGAACCTTCTCCACTTGTTCTTCGATTAAAATTGCTTCTTCGTCTTCCTCTTAATCCTCTTAAACCTCTTCCTTGTCTTCCGCCACTAAAAAAGTCCCCTCAGCCTTGATCTTTAGTTGATGGTTTCCTTTCTAAGCTTTTTGAGTTACATAGAGTTTTGATTGGAAAGCACTCTCAATTGATTTTTCTGAGGGTCATTCCAACCTTTGCTCATGAGATTTCAAGGAACTTAGCAATTCTTAAACTCCTAGTTTAGAAAGATCTATATTTTCTTCTATAACAGCCATCATAGAATCAAATTTCTCAAGTAAACTTATCAACTTCTCAACTATTCTCTGATTTTTCATCTTCTCGTCATATGTTTTTATTTGACTGATCAATTCCATAAATCTAGATGAATAATCTTTGACACTTTCATTTTGTTCATCCTCATATTTTCAAAATCTCTTCTAAGAGTTTGAAGTTTGATTTTTCTTACCCTTTTATCCCCTTGGAATTCTTCCTGAAGTGTCTGCCATGCTCGGAGGTTTTTGCTCCCTTGATTCTTTGGAAAATAGCTTCTGAGACTCCTCCATGAATCATCCTCAGAGTTCCTACATCTTTGCTCTTCTTATTCTTCAACTCATTCTGTTAAGATTCACTTAAATCTGTCATAGATTAAGGGATTTCATATCCTGATTCTATCATCTCCCATAGATCAAGAGACTCGAACAAAGTCCTCATATTGATGCTCCAAAAATCATAGTTCTCCCCATAAATATTGGAACTTGAACACTACTCCAACNTCTCACATAAATCAAGAGACTAAAACAAATTCTTCATCTTGATGCTACAAAAATATAGTTGGCCCCCATGTAGATTGGAACTTGAACACTACTCCAACTTACACTTGAGCCTGCCATCTTCTTTTATACAAAAGCCCTCATTTTTAAAACCCTTGCTGCCAAATCTTAGCTGCAAATGAATGAATAGAACCTAATACCAACTGTATGTTGGCAGAGATTGTAGCTTCTGGTATTACAATGCTGGTTTCACGCGTATGAAAGCAGGGAAAAACTTATACTTAACACATTTCACTGTATGAAAGTAGTTCAATACAGTTTCTGCTATATGAAACAGGGAAATCACTTCAACAGATTACCAGCAATAGAAAACAGGGAAAAACAGAGAAAAAACAAGATAATGGAGAAGCAACAGAACTATTTCTTTCCTCGCAAGATTTTATATATAATTCTCTTTTATTATTATTATTATTTTTTTATTTTGGGCTTACAATACAAAACCCACCAAAAATTGCATTTATAGCCCTCATTTGTTTTACACATACTTCGACTTTTCTACAATAAAACACATTACATAATAACAATCTAAATCCCTTGGTTCAAATGGAAACAGTTACACCGTGATTGCTGTCTTTTCAAACTTGCATTGTTTTATGGGAAAAAGGAAGAAAGACGAGTGAAATACTTGGGAAAGTTTTGAGCTCAAGCACATTAATAACTCAGTTGATCTTGAGCTGGAATACTGATCTTTTACATCTCCAAGAAATTATCGCCATGGTTAAACCTTGCTTCATCTTTGAGGAGCTCCAGACTACTTAAAACATTTTTAAGCTTCATTACGACTTCAATCATTGTAGGCCTCTCCTCATATCGTTCTCTTAAGCACATCTCTGTCAGCATAGAAATTTCTTTCAGCTGCTCAATGTTAACCTCCATCACCAAACGATGTTCAAGAATTTCAAGCATGCGATCTCCTCTGAATGCAGAAATGAAATACTGTGCCAAAGATTCTTCTCCTCTTGGCCTGTCAACGTTTAGAACCTCATCTCCAGTCAATAGCTCGGCTAGTATAACTCCAAAACTGTACACATCATTCGTTTTGCCATCTGTACCAAAAAATCCTGTAATTGAAGGAAACGCTATTTTTACCATGAAACCATGGTCTAGTAGTATGTTGGAGCTATCGATGTTTCCATGAATAATTGGTGTTTCACCACCGGAATGCAAGTATAAAAGGGACCCTGCAGTTTCAGTGGCTATCTTAAGACGACGTTCCCAGGAAAGAAAAGAAAACTCATCATGAATAGAATCGTACAACGTCTTATCGGTGAAGAACTCATAAACCAGAAATGGAACTGATGTCTGTAAACAACAACCAATCAGTTTTACCACATTCATGTGGTCTATCCATGAAAAATTGACCAATTTGCTAATGAAATCGTGAACCTGGATTGGATCAATTTGTTCACACCTATTTATGGTGATAATTTTGTTTACTCCATCTTCAAGTAAAGTTCCTTTGTAAACTGGTTCATTCCTATCTCTATGGAAGACTCTACTTTCATTGTAGTTGTCTGTAGCGTTGCTGATATCTTCTGCTGTGAAAACTATACAACTTTTCCTTCTTAATAGCATTTTTTCTAAAATCAATCCACCATTTTCCACAAACAATTTCTGTCTTACTTTACCAATTTTCTTTTTCTTGCTTCCCCAAAATATCCAAGAAATTCCAATGGCAGGAAAAATGAGACCTGTTTAAAAATTGGAAAGATCTCTATCAAATCAGTTTATAATCATGATTTCCTCTATACACTACAAAATAAACTTTCTGAATTTATAGGCATGCTAAAAATTGATTTTGTCCTCAGAAACTAACGGAGGGCAACCATAGTTCATGACACCTCTGGGAACAGCAAGTAGTCAACTATTATATGCATTACCAAACAACACAAAATAGATTTTATTCAGCCAAAAACAACTTTAAATATATTAAACACCCTCAGGTTTATGGTCCATCATTATTCATACCATTAGTTTAGACTCACAAAATCGATTTCAGTAATCAAAGTGGAAAATTCCTATCAGTTAAGGGACGAACCAGTTTTGTTTTTACAAAACAAAAAACAAACGAGCATACCAAAAGCAATATGGAGAAAGGTAGAGCTTAACTCGGTCTTTGGGTTGGCGACCAGCATCTTTCTTTGTATCACCTACAACCGCAGCAAACTTTTATCCTGGAGGAAAATTCTGGAATTTAGATGAGAAGAGCTTGAGTGATCATTCATTGAACCGCACTTGTAGTAACAATCTAAACCCAGATTAAGATATTTTGTCTGCAGTTTCCTGGAATCTGCCTGTGTGATTTCCTGGAATCTGCATGTGTGATATTTTGTCAAACGAATTGAGTTATCGCTACCGTAAACACAACATTCATTTACTTTTAGTTCACTTATATTATTCTCATATACAGAAACGGATTCCGTTGGACAATAAATAACAACACTTTCATTAGTTTTTAAATGCTGATGCTAAATTACCAACGTAATTATTCCATCTTTAAAATTTCATAGATAATCAGTTGGTATAATTAAATAAAAAATAAATTGACAATTTTCTGTTGGATTTTCAAATGGAGGATTCCATTTTTAAATTTCAACTGAAACAGTCAGCTGGTGAACATATTTCTCAGTGCATAATATATAAAAAAAAATGTAAAAAAATCCATAAAACTCTTGAAAAACACTTATATGTCATGAAAATTTATGAAAAATGTGGAATGTCTTGGTGTTGACGATGAATTTTTAACATATATTAAACTACATTTTATTTTTAAATATTTAAAAAATA